TGTGAGTAACAATACATAGACTGCCAAGGACACACACATAACTGCATGTGCACACACCTCAGACCTCAGACCTCAGACATGCCTATCGCGGAAGCGATGATGGCGAACAGCTATGTTAGACATAGCAACTTGTGCTGGGATTACACCATTCAACAGCTTGCAAGGCTGATGAATTGACCGCCACTATGTTTAGCCTGGTATCCACCACACAGCTGTTTGAAGTGACTTTTTCTAGCCAGTGAATCTCTATTTTTCATTTTTCCATTTTTTTCTTTTTTTTCTGCACACACACACCACACCACATACTCCGGCATACACTGGCTGTTGGTAACCACCCAGGAGAATGAAAGAAAAGCCAGGAAGAGTCCGAGAAAGAGAAGAAAGACGTGTGCAACCATAATCGTCGGGAATTAAACCCGCAACCTCTCGATTGGAAATCGACTGCACATACCACTGCACCATATGGGACACACACACACACCACACACACACACACACACACACACACACACACACACACACACACACACACACACACACACACACACACACACACACACACACACACACACACACACACACACACACACACACACACACACACACACACACACACACACACACACACACACACACACACACACACACACACACACACACACACACACACACACACACACACACACACACACACACACACACACACACACACACACACACACACACACACACACACACACACACACACACACACACACACACACACACACACACACACACACACACACACACACACACACACACACACACACACACACACACACACACACACACACACACACACACACACACACACACACACACACACACACACACACACACACACACACACACACACACACACACACACACACACACACACACACACACACACACACACACACACACACACACACACACACACACACACACACACACACACACACACACACACACCCTTTGACCCTTGATCTTTTCACGCCCGATGCTACGGCAGAAGCCATTGCAACTTATGCTGGGATTGCACCATTCAACAGCTTGCAAGGCTGGTGAATTGACCGCCACTATTCAGCCTGGTCTACACCACACAGCTAGGAAGTGGCTTTTCCTGGCCAGCACTCCCACATGTGTAGACACACACACACACACACACACACACACACACACACACACACACACACACACACACACACACACACACACGCACGCACACACACACACAAACACACACACACACACAACCACACTCTTATGCACACAACCACATGCACTGAAACGCACCGAAACGCACACTCATGTGCACACACATGCAAACACATGTACACACATATACACACATGATCATTGATCACACATGCACACACATGCACACACATGCACACACATGCACACATACATTCACATGCACTACATGTGATCAGCGCGTAACAAAAGTAACAAAAGTGACATAAGTGAAAACGACAATAGCCTTGGCAGTGGCAAAGGCAATGATCCTGGAAACCATCATCACCCCAATACAAGCAGTATTAGTATTAGTATCACAGGAGAGAGAGAGAGAGAGAGAGAGAGAGAGAGAGAGAGAGAGAGAGAGAGAGAGAGAGAGAGAGAGAGAGAGAGAGAGAGAGAGAGAGAGAGAGAGAGAGAGAGAGAGAGAGAGAGAGAGAGAGAGAGAGAGAGAGAGAGAGAGAGAGAGAGAGAGAGAGAGAGAGAGAGAGGAGAGAGAGAGAGAGAGAGAGAGAGAGAGAGAGAGAGAGAGAGAGAGAGAGAGAGAGAGAGAGAGAGAGAGAGAGAGAGAGAGAGAGAAAGAGAGAGAGAGAGAGAGAGAGAGAGAGAGAGAGAGAGAGAGAGGGAGAGAGAGAGAAAGAGAGAGAGAGAGAAAGAGAGAGAGAGAGTATTAGCATTAGCAATTAGCAATTAGCAATTAGCAATAGCAGTAACATTGGCATGTGTGGGCTTTTAAAAGCACACATCATATTAGGATAGAATCCTGTGTAGGAGTCGAGACGACAGGAGCGTGCACCGTTCCCGGAAAGCATCATGATCTTGAATGAGCCTACAAGAGTGTACTGGTGGTAAGCATCAAAACCATGGTAAAATCGTGGTAAAAATGTACTTCATCTGGGTCAGTACAATTGTCGCTTCGCACATCGCAATGTTTGTGACTTGCTTGTCTTAGTCTGACTGTCGGAATCCATGTTTTCTGTGTTCTAACATTGTTATGACCCTTCCTACGCAAAGTCGACTTGTTACGGAAGGCGTGGTGGTCTCTTAGCTTTCTTCGGCACCAAACAAATTCATCCCGCTCCACGCTATTTTGCCCCAGAGCGCGTTCTTTTTCTGCAGTTCTTGCCTGCCCACATCGTTCGCGTGGGCATTTTTCAAGACTGCAAGCTCGGGTATAAGACTCCTGGTTTCTCTCCTGAATTCGAAATGCTGAAGTTGACGGTGGCAAGAACAAAGT